CCTGGTGTTTCACTAGATCACCTTACAGGGAGCCGGTCGGCCGAGCGGACAGCACGCTGGACTTGTGATCCTGTGGTCCTGGGTTCGATCCCAGGCGCCGGCGAGAAACAATGGGCAGAGTTTCTTTCACCCTATGTCCCTGTTACCTAGCAGTAAAATAGGTACCTGGGTGTTAGTCAGCTGTCACGGGCTGCTTCCTGGGGGTGGAGGCCTGGTCGAGGACCGGGCCGCGGGGACACTAACAAGCCCCGAAATCATCTCAAGATAACCTCAAGATACATCCCCATCCCTTCCCTCCCTCCTTCTCCAAGCTGATGTGACTATTGGTTAGGAAGATAGTACACACTTCCCTCCACTGGGGTCCAACCACTTAGGGCTGGACGGTAGAGCGACGGTCTCGCTTCATGCAGGTCGGCGTTCAATCCCCGATCGTCCACAAGTGGTTGAGTGCCATTCATTCCCCTCCTCCCGTCCCATCCCAAATCATCCCCCTTCATCATCCTGACCCCTTCCCAGTGCTATATAGTCGGAATGACTTTGCGCTTTCCCCTGACAGTTTCCTCCCCTCCATTGGCATCACCCGTTTTCTTTGTTATTCTATGTCATGTTTATCATCCTATGCTTTGTCATCCATCTTGTTTATAATCATCTGTCATGTTCACAAGGTTACATTTATGCTGTGGTACTGTGAACATGACTGTGGCACTGTGAACGTGACTGTGGCACTGTGAACGTGACTGTGGCACTGTGAACGTGAATGTGGCACTGTGAACGTGACTGTGGCACTGTGAACGTGACTGTGGCACTGTGAACGTGACTGTGGCACTGTGAACGTGACTGTGGCACTGTGAACGTGACTGTGGCACTGTGAACGTGACTGTGGCACTGTGAACGTGACTGTGGCACTGTGAACGTGACTGTGGCACTGTGAACATGACTATGGCACTGTTTAAATGACTTTAGCACTGTGAACATGACTGTGACACAGTGAACATGACTGTGGCACAGTGAACATGACTGTAGCACTGTGAACATGACTATGGCACTGTGAACGTGACTGTGGCACTGTGAACGTGACTGTGGCACTGTGAACATGACTGTGGCACTGTGAACATGACTATGGCACTGTTTAAATGACTTTAGCACTGTGAACATGACTGTGACACAGTGAACATGACTGTGACACAGTGAACATGACTGTAGCACTGTGAACATGACTATGGCACTGTGAACATGACTATGGCACTGTGAACATGACTGTGGCACTGTGAAAATGACTGTGGCACTGTGAAAATGACTGTGGCACTGTGAACATGACTGTGACACTGTGAACATGACTGTGACACTGTGAACATGACTGTGGCACTGTGAACATGACTGTGGCACAGTGAACATGACTGTGGCACTGTGAACATGACTGTGGCACTGTGAACATAACTGTGGCACTGTGAACATGACTGGCACTGTGAACATGACTGTGGCACTGTGAACATGACTGTGGCACTGTGAACATACTGGAGCCACTCACACCCTGCCAACTTGCCCCTTGACACCCCCCCCCTCCCCACAGGGGGTTAATATGTAGGGAGACGCACTTGACAAGTCGTATGTGTTTAAGGAACCTGTTGTGAGAGGCACTAAGCAGAAAAAAGTCGCTCTGACGGTAAGTTGTTGGCTTAAACCTGTCAAACAAGTCACCTGATTATTATTGCGTCACGAAGCTTACGTATTTTGTGAGTTGACGAGTTTTTGGAGCGGATTGGCTATCTCCCGATTATCTGATATCTAATATTAGATAACATTTAATTATCTAATTGATAATTCACTGTGCAACAAATATAATTTGTTGTTCCTGGGTGATAAGTGTTATTTTATAATTAATTATGCTCTGGAAAGTACAGCAAATGTCCATATTACTTTCCGAAAATCGGGCCAGGTTCACGAAGCAGTTACACAAGCACTTACGAACGTGTACATTTTTCCTCAATCTTTGTCGGCTTTAGTTACATTTATTAAATAGTTTACAAGCGTGAAAACTTGCCAATCAACTGTTGTTATTGTTATAAACAGCCTCCTGGTGCTTCGGAGCTCATTAACTGTTTAATAATTGTAAACAAAGCCGCCAAAGATTGAGAAAAGATGTACAGGTTCGTAAGTGCTTGCGTAACTGCTTCGTGAATCCGGGCCCCAGAGCAGTGACGTTTTGACAGCGATTTTCTTGAACATTTTAGATCATTTTAGTGGTGAGGAAACATGGAATAACTCCATAATGGGAGAACAAGTACTAGTCTCTTCCCTTAGTCTCTTCCCCTAATCTCTTCCCCTAGTCTCTTGCCCTAATCTAATGCCCCTAATGCCTCTCAAGGTCAAAACAACAGCATGAAGACTTTGCAGTGTGATCAGTACGACAGCCGGGTCATCATCGGAGACTTCAAGATGGTGGCATTCCTTATGGGGTCGTATGACTTGTTGAAGGGGCTCCTGACACGTCCTTCCTTCACTAGGAGTCAGGTTAGGGGACCTGTTAGGGACCTGTTGTAGGGGGATAGAGGTATACCTGCCTCTTAAAGGGGCGAAAGTCTCGGGTGATGCAATGCGCTGCACAGCCATATTGGTGCTCGAACTCCGACTCGTAATATTCTCCCTGCATCATGAATCACTCAACACTAATTCGCCGTCTTGAAGCTGCCTTGTAAGATGTCCTTGAGTGACGTCACACCGCCTAAACGCGGTCATTGGTTGCATATACAGACTCTGAGGGAATATGAGAATAAATTTTTACCCTTATATAAAAATACACAAACATGCGTTTTATATTTATACATATCTATAAGTATAAGAGAGAGTGTGCCTGTTTTTGTCTATCTGTCCAGAGTTGGAGGCCAGAGGCTTGGGGCTAGCTTCACCCAATTGACAGAAGGGAATGGTCTAGGGTACGGGATGAACATAGGGGAGTCGGGAGTCACCAGTATTCAAACGAGAACAGCGTGGCAGGGTCACATTCCGACCCCCACGACGATTTGTTGACATGTCACACCGGCTACACAATTAAATATTTGTGAAAACTAACTTTTCACAAATAATTTTGTCTTATAGTAATATACACTATTATTTACTGGCCTCGGGAAAATTAACAGTAATTTCTTGGTATCCGCAATTGGTCCGTAGTTGAATAAAACATACGATCCTCCAACAGCTTCGAGGGGTTTCTCAGCCCAGGCTTCTTTCTCAGCCCAGGCTTCTTTCTCAGCCCAGGCTTCTTTCTCAGAGCAAATACCTATTCTATTTTTTTTTTTAGTATTTTACTGCCCTAAGCTCCTCTCACTGGCTACCACTCACACACCTGTGGTAGACAGTTATATTTTTATACATGAGAGAGAGAGAGAGAGAGAGAGAGAGAGAGAGAGAGAGAGAGAGAGAGAGAGAGAGAGAGAGAGAGAGAGAGAGAGAGAGAGAGAGAGAGAGAGAGAGAGAGAGAGAGAGAGAGAGAGAGAGAGAGACTCACCTAGTTGTGCTTGCGGGGATTAAGCTCTGGCTCTTTGGTCCCGCCTCTCAGCAGTCAATCAACTGGTGAGTGTGTGTGTGTAATGTATTAGATATATAATATGTATTTAATGTGTACAATAAAACACTATAAATACTTTAGGAATGTATAGTTATAATATATCGATACTTTCACGACCGGCTGTTTAAAATGACCCACATAAAAGGCCACCTTCAGACTAGAGGTGTGTCCCTGATACCCTGACAAGGGGCACGAGTTACAGAGGTGAGCGCCGAGTGACCAATCTCTCCTTGTATGTCACTGGTCAGGGCTGCTGGCACTCTGCGAGCGAGGGCCACTCAGACCTCACCTGGGTGCCATACAAGCCAGACACTGCCACTCAGATCTCACCTGGGTCCTATCCAATCCAGGCACTGCCACTCAGACCTCACCTGGGTGCCATACAAGCCAGGCACTGCCATTCAGACCTCACCTGGGTGCCATACAAGCCAAGCACTGCCACTCAGATCTCACCTGGGTGCCATACAAGCCAGGCACTGCCACTCAGACCTCACCTGGGTGCCATACAAGCCAAGCACTGCCACTCAGACCTCACCTGGATGCCATACAAGCCAAGCACTGCCACTCAGACCTCACCTGGGTGCCATACAAGCCAAGCACTGCCACTCAGATCTCACCTGGGTGCCATACAAGCCAGGCACTGCCACTCAGACCTCACCTGGGTGCCATACAAGCCAAGCACTGCCACTCAGACCTCACCTGGGTGCCATACAAGCCAAGCACTGCCACTCAGACCTCACCTGGGTGCCATACAAGCCAAGCACTGCCACTCAGACCTCACCTGGGTGCCATACAAGCCAGGCACTGCCACTCAGACCTCACCTGGGTGCCATACAAACCAAGCACTGCCACTCAGACCTCACCTGGGTGCCATACAAGCCAAGCACTGCCACTCAGACCTCACCTGGGTCCTATCCAAGCCAGGCACTGCCCCTCAGACCTCACCTGGGTGCCATACAAGCCAAGCACTGCTACTCAGACCTCACCTGGGTGCCATACAAGCCAGGCACTGCCACTCAGACCTCACCTGGGTCCTATCCAAGCCAGGCACTGCCCCTCAGACCTCACCTGGGTGCCATACAAGCCAGGCACTGCCACTCAGACCTCACCTGGGTGCCATACAAGCCAGGCACTGCCACTCATGCTCACTAATATTTTCTGCAAATATAATTAGTTTACCATATTTAAAGCTGTAAAGTATTTTAGTAATTAGAGGCCTACGTATTTAATTATTGCTGGTAAATTAAATACAGAAGACTTGAACTGGAACTTTATTAAGTCTTACCAAACTTTATTTAATATTTACCGCATTCAAATTGTTTATAGTTTGAAGTCGTTTAACCCATGTAATATAATATGTGGACTCACACACAAAGTAATAAAGACTAAACCCTTACCTAACCTCACCTGGACCAATGTGCTGGATTACAGTGCAGATGGTAATGTATAATACGTTCAGTATTGTATAAAATACATTACTAACAGGAACTAATGTTCTGTAGATTCTACATTTACCAATAATGTTTATACCTTGATAATATTATAAACATTAGGAAGACTGAATCGTTAATTTATTAATGAGGATACTGGTAATAATAATATAAATAATAATATAAATAATATTATTATTATTATCATACAATATTCATTACAACATGTTAGGTATTAATTAGTAGGTACATACAAGCCATGGAAGAAGCTATTAGGCTTGCTTTTACCCATAACCTCTCTCTCTCTCTCTCTCTCTCTCTCTCTCTCTCTCTCTCTCTCTCTCTCTCTCTCTCTCTCTCTCTCTCTCTCTCTCTCTCTCTCTCTCTCTCTCTCTCTCTCTCTCTCTCTCTCTCTCTCTCTCTCTCTCTCTCTCTCTCTCTCTCTCTCTCTGTACGTCTTAATTGTTTGAACTAATAAAACAGTGAAGTTCGCAAATCTTACAGCCGGGTATTGTTTCTCAAAGTGGGTTAGCGTGGGCGTTGAAACTTCCCCGACTGGTCACTTGTGTGTCAGTGCCAGGCATGGTGGCCCTCTGGCACCCACAAGGTAGTACCGAGTGCCCACACCTCGCCGCTGACGTATTGACTGATGGTTCAGGCAGGGAGGACGACAATACGAAGAGTTATAGACAGTTACATGGATATGGACAGATATCCATAGATACTTATGGATATAATGTGGCTCCCACCTGGTGGCCTTGTAATACACACACACACACACACACGCACACGCACACGCGCACACGCACACGCACACACACACACGCACACACCACACACACACACACACTAGCATTTGGTCTCCTTGATGCTGAGTTCCTGCGGCAATGCTATAACTATCCGATTTAGAGACCCGAATGCTGTGTGTCGGTCTTGGGTTCCATTAATATGTTCTTTAAGATCACCGCAGCCCTTCAACCGTTCGGATACGACAGTGACACCTGGAGCAGGAAACATACAGTAATGAACAACAAATTCAACGGTGGATCTCACGAACATTCAATGGGAAAGTGTTCTAAGTAGTACAGATCCCACGGAAGGAATCGAACCACTGACGGCCCAAGCATATAAAGTCTGTCTGAAATACGTTCCTTTGTGGAAAACCAGAAAGAGGAGGGACTTGTGAGAGCTTGACTTGTGAGAGCTTGACTTGTGAGAACTTGACTTGTGAGAGCTTGACTTGTGAGAGCTTGACTTGTGAGAGTTCGCCTTGTGAGAGCTTGACTTGTGAGAGCTTGACTTGTGAGAGCTTGACTTGTGAGAGCTCGCCTTGTGAGAGCTTGACTTGTGAGAGCTTGACTTGTGAGAGCTTGCCTTGTGAGAGCTTGACGTGTGAGAGCTTGACTTGTGAGAGCTTGACGTGTGAGAGCTTGACTTGTGAGAACTTGACTTGTGAGAGCTTGACTTGTGAGAGCTTGACTTGTGAGAGCTTGCCTTGTGAGAGCTTGCCTTGTGAGAGCCTGGTAGACCAAACTCTCACAAGTCAAGCCTGGCCTCGGGCCGGGCTTGGGGAGTAGAACTCCCTGGAACCTTTTCCAGGTACAATGGAAAAGACACGTTGGGGAGGTTTCCACGTGTTCTGGAGGGAGGTTTCCACGTGTTCTGGAGGGAGGTTTCCACGTGTTCTGGAGGGAGGTTTCCACGTGTTCTGGAGGGAGGTTTCCACGTGTTTTGGAGGGAGGTTTCCACGTGTTCTGAAGGGAGGTTTCCACGTGTTCTGGTGGGAGGTTTCCACGTGTTCTGGAGGGAGGTTTCCACGTGTTCTAGAGGGAGGTTTCCACGTGTTCTGAAGGGAGGTTTCCACGTGTTCTGAAGGGAGGTTTCCACGTGTTCTGAAGGGAGGTTTCCACGTGTTCCGGAGGGAGGTTTCCACGTGTTCTGAAGGGAGGTTTCCACGTGTTCTGAAGGGAGGTTTCCACGTGTTCTGAAGGGAGGTTTCCACATGTTCTGAAGGGAGGTTTCCAAGTGTTCTGAAGGGAGGTTTCCACGTGTTCTAAAGGGAGGTTTCCACGTGTTCTGAAGGGAGGTTTCCAAGTGCTCTGGAGGGAGGTTTCCACGTGTTCTAAAGGGAGGTTTCCACGTGTTCTGAAGGGAGGTTTCCAAGTGTTCTGAAGGGAGGTTTCCACGTGTTCTAAAGGGAGGTTTCCACGTGTTATGAATGGAGGTTTCCAAGTGTATAGCGTCCCTTAACTTTATGCAGTAGTGTACTCGACTAATAATGTGTTACATATGCAAGACGAGGCCCACTAGGCTCTTTACATTCCTGAAGAACCTCGGCAAATACTTATTGTGGTCCTGGAGACTTGTGCTTCAACTTGTCTATTTGTTTAATGATTTCCTCCCAAGTAACACTAAACTGGTCAGCCTCTCCGCTTCATCACCAATATAAATTTGTTCAGCAGAAGGCATAATGTTAAGTTTTTCTCAAGAAAATGCAGACAAAATATTTTAAATACATTTCTTTGTCATTATCAGTTGTCTCGGCTTTAAATTCCCCAGTTTTCCATAATCTTTGATATGATTAAAAATCTTTAGGAATTGTCTTTGCTTTCCTTAGTTCTTTTTTTTTAACATGTATAACTAACTTGAGAAATTGTTATCCTTGATTGATTTGCTATCTCTATCTTTAAATCCATCATTATGTAACTCAATGGATGTACCTTTACCTGAATAAAACAGCTAAATCTAAATCTGTTAAT